ATATAGATATAAATAGCCTACATTATAGAATCTCATGACTATTTATCGACACAAAATGTGCCACAAAATACTTTTTTAGTGGCAAATACAAAAGTGCCACTAAAATCTTAAAATATGTAACATCAATTCTTAAATAAAATAAGCATTCAATGGCATAACGTATGTACCACAAAAGTTTTTTCTTCTATTGTGACAAATAAGAAAGTGTGTAAAAGCCTAAAACCTACAACAACAAAAACAAAAAGTACCACTAAAGGGTTTTAGCAGGAGCATTTCTTGTGGAACTTATTATGTGTTTCGTTGATTCTATGAGAAACCTTTAACAATATTTTTTTGGGTTTTTAGTGGCACTTTTTTATGCCACTAAATGCCATATTTTTTGTAGTGTAAGCATATATGATTATGACAGTTGGTAGCAGAAAAAATGGGGATGGTAGAGGTGGAAGTGATATAAGTGACGGAGATGATAGCAGTGGGGTTGAATGGTGTCAGAGGTGTTGATAGTGGTGATGGCGATGATGATTGTGGTGGTGGGGATGGTGGCAGAGGAGAAAGGGACGGGCGGCTCTATATAATCATTTATGATTATAACATGCCTATCGCGCCGGTACGCTAGAGGGTAGATGTGAAATATGTGGCTGATGTTGAATATCAAGATCTCTATTTTATTTTTAATCTCAACGAAACCTACATCTCTTTCTTTCTCTCTCTCTCTCTCTCTCTGTCTTTCTCTTTCTCTCTCTCTCTCTCTCTCTCTCTATATATATATATATATATACTCTCTCTCTCTGTCTCTCTCTCTATATATATATATATATATATATATATATATATATATATGCTTAGGTTATTTTGTTTTTACTAAATATTGTGTGCCAGAACACACAGATTTGGACCAACGAATGAAATTAATCAATGAACATGATTTAAGAGTGTATAATATTACAATGGGATAACATGTACCATATAATCACACAAATTTTAGTAAGAGGGTGTTTTGGACAATTAACTACATTTATAAAAGGAAATTTGATTTTTAGGGATAATTAATTCTCATGATTTTAAAACTCTGAATTTTTTTAATTAATTCAATTTTAATTCTAACGTAAGTTGTAAAAATAACCGATTTTATTCTGTCAGAATATTTTTTTTTGTTAGAATGATGTTCTTTTAAAATTTTATTCTATTAGAATATTATTGAAGAATAACAAAATTCTTGAATCCGAGGTTGAAAAATAACAACATTCTAATATATTCTTATACATCCGAACTTAAATACAAATTCATACATACTAAAAGTCTTATACATTTTAATATAATTATACATATTCTAAAAGAATATCAACAAAAATGAATAAAATTCTTAAATAATAACAACATTCTTAAATTGTGGGTATGATCAAACTTTATTCATTCTTCAAGTTATTCCTATTAGGTCTTCAACGCATTCTTCCAGCCATTCCTATCTTAAATACAACAAAAACTAATAATTGTTAAAAACATGTTACTTGCAATTAACTATCATTTTATATATTTTGGTAGAATACATAGAATGTGACAAAATACATAGAATACATTATGGCAGAATACATAAATTTTATTTGGCAGAGTGACAAAATACATAGAATACATTCAAAAGTATCGTACTTACTGCTAATATAATTTTAGATTCCAATATACATTAATGAGGGACATTAGAAATTGGAATTCAAAATCACAAATTGAACCAAAATAATACATAAACAAATTAATTACCTTTTTAAACAATTACATAAAATATATGTTGCTAGTAATTCTGACATAATACATACCACAAGGTTAAATTATTTAGATTCTCTTTCACATATTTCAACAAACACTTGTTAGGTATTATCATCAAACAAGCCAAATTTAAATGTTGGTTGAGTCAAACAATTCATCAAACAGTTGGCGTGCCAACCTAAATGTGAGAACATAAGCAAAGAATTCTACAAGTTTAAAAAGGCAAAACTAGATTAAAAAAAAAAAGCACGCATAACTTGATTTCAACTAACTTGATTTAAGAGGAGAAACAATTCTTAATTAAAGAGAAGAGAGGAGATGTGCTTTTTGGAAAAGTATTACTTAATAGGTCTATAAACTTGATTCAAGATACCATCCCTATTGTTTCCATGTCATCCAAATACTGAATAATGTCAAACATAATTCAGGACACCATCCCTATTGTGAACTTGATTGAAGACGCTCCTTATACCTGCATCCAAGAACGACGACATAATTCCTAAAAGATTGAATTAGAATCCTTTTATACCATCCCACTAACCAACACAACTCACCACCCATCACCGCCACCCCCACCCACCACCCACAAAAATCACTAGCCACCACCACCACCACCACCTCCAACCACCGGCCACCACCATCACCATCACCACCACCTCCACCACCCACCACAACCACTACCCACCCACCTCCACCACCCACCATTTTGACCGCCACCAACTACCACCCACCACTTATCACCACCACCACTCATCACCACCACCGCCTCCACCACACATCACCACCCGCTACCCACCACCACCACCCATCACCACCGACTACCACCACCCACCACCATCACCCACAAAACCACCAACCACTAACATCACCACCACCCGCAAGCCCTACCCGCTATAATCACCACCCACCCACCTCCACCACCCAACATTTTACCACCACCAACCACCATCGATCACCACTACCTGCCTCTACTACCCATCACCACCACCCACCACGACCACCCCACCCACTAGTCACCACCTCCTACCTCCACCACCGATCACAACCACCCGCACCCACCACCACCTACCATCAATACCACCAACCACCTTTACCACTACCCACCTCCATCATACATCACCATCACCTCCCACCTATGTGTGTGTATGGATATATACAAAGATAATTATGAGACATATGGATTTTAATTATCATATATAAAGTAAAAAGATTATATAGTGATAATTAGAGATTTTATAAAAGAGTTAAAGAAAAAATAAAACACCTAAGGTTAATGTGTTAGTGAGCTTTTATTACTCATACTTAGCTTAATTAATTTCGGCTACCCCGAACCTCTAATCGTTAATTTTACGAAAGCTAGAATATATATATATATATATATATATATATATATATATATATATATATGGGGCTGACACCCCCACTCGCGATTGCTAGCTACAATCCCGGTAAGATAACTTTCTTTATATACAAGCGTTATTTGACATCCGATGAAACGTCGTACCGAGAAAATATTAGTCCATAGCGTCGATTATAAGGGTTCATAGTAATACAAACCCGAAAATATTAAGGAAGTCAACTACCTAAATGGACGCCTTAAAGTAGTGAATATTGTTTTATATCGATAAGTAATTAGGATTGGTAAAATATCCTAAAACATATTATTATAAATTCACATTGGTAAAATATTCTATAAAGTATTTAAGTTAGGATTGATAAAATATCCTATAAATATATTGATTATTTAGGATTGGTAAAATATCCTAAAAGTATATTAAAAGAAGTTAGGATTGGTAAAATATCCTAAAAATGAAAGAAGAAAGAAATATAATATTAGGATTGACTGTACATCCTAAAAGATAAGTTTTAAGAAATAAAAGGATTTCGAAGCTATGAAATGGAAAACTTGGGAATTAATAAATAAAGAATACTCTTATTCATAAACAAAGATCCTAAAAAGTTTTCAAAAAGAGTTTTATCGATATCTGTTAACCATGTGAATTCTCCACCATCAAGTTGATGTTTTCAAAATCGCATGTATTTCTAAGAAGGAGAAGAAATCAACGCAATGAAGGACAATCAGCTCGAAGATAGATAGGTTTTTATTTATCCCATGTAATAGACATCATTTATTAATAAAATGTATTTATATTTTATACTCTGTGATTTGGGTAATCTATGTACCGATGTTACCCCTCGGCGCTTCCGTCATCGGCCGGTGGTGTGACAGTACAAAACCAAATCAATGGATTGCTCCTTTACTAACGTGATACCCATGTTTCTCAGTCTCTCAGGGTATATCTTAACTTTGTTGACATATGCACACACAAAAGTTCCTTCTTGGTTTTTACATGTAAGTAAGGCTCTAGTGATATCAAACCTTTCTAGCCTTATGAGGATGGAAAAGAGTGAAGGTTGTACTTTTGGGAGGTATCATGAAAAGGAGAGTGGAAATAATGGAGAGGAATGAGGAGGAAGATCACCATTTTCATACATATGCTATATGAGAGGAAGTTTTAGTTAGTTGATTAATCCTTAATATTTTAACCCAAATTAAGATTCAAGACTAGGATCCATATTTTATTTTAAACTTTGAAGAGGGATATTGTAATCAAATTGCGAATTTATTTTAGGTAGGTAAGGCTTTTACCAATTTCAATCTTATAAAATTCCTAAATTTTTTGAGATTCATTGACTCTTATCGATGACATGTTTAATATCAAATTATGCTTTTATTTTTGTGTCTGGGATGTTGAAAATCGCGTGACTATCTCGATCTTATTTATGATCTCTCATTAACGTGTCAATTAACCACACATGATCCATCAACAATCATAATTTCGAGTTTGTACCATCATTTCAACTTTGTTGTCCCAAATTAATGTACTAGTAAACCATGCATTCTCCATTAACGACTCACAAAGATACGATGTACCTTTTCATGGATTGGTATACAATCACATTGTTCTTATTGTTACAATGTTTTGAACTCTACAATGTTCAATTGAACATTGCAAAAGCTAAATTATAATATTTATTTTAGAGTTCGAAACTTTCATTTTTTCCCATTAAAGAGTTCATTAAGTGTTGAACTTCAAATACATTGAATATGAATGTGATATCTTACAATAATTAATTTTTATTCATTGAATAACAATTAAACTTGGCGGCTCATTTAACTCTCGCATTAAATGCATCATTATGAATCCTCTTATATTTTTTCTCATATGAGAGTTTGTGTAGTGACAACATGCCAAAACCATATTTCTTATAGTGTAATAAATAAAAGTAAATACAAAAGAATTATTTTAATCATTTACATACATTGACATAATGCAAGTAAGAAGCAACAATGGACCCAAATAGTAATGCTCTACAACTCTTTTTCTCTTAAAAAATAAGCCGTACGTTCAGCAAATACCAAATATCTCCAAATGACACATTATAGCAGTACGTACCCAGCACTTCTAATTATTGAGAAAAGAGAGATGAGATCAATCCACAAAAGACCACAAAGGCTCATCGTTGATTCCCATATATATATATACACATGAGGATCCATAAGTAGGGTATATGATATATATTCAAATTTGGATATAACTTTTCTTGTTCTTGGCATAATATAATTTACCTTAGCTCAACTTGACCGCGGTGGAGGGTACGTCCGTATACGGTATACCCTTTTTTTTTGAAGATTGACCACTAATAATCGGCAAGCACAGGAGTAGATATAGCTAGAAAAGCTTGCCCTCTTCTTTATTATTGATGATGGCTGGCTAGGATTAGTTGAATTGAAAGGGTGGCACATGCTCGTTTAGTGCAACTCCTGATGGTCTTCTATCAAAAGCCCTCAAACAATTTGATTTTACATACACTCGGCACAAACTTAATTCCTCCATCAACTGCATCTTACATTTTACAACGACATATATATATATATATATATATATATATATATATATATATATATATATATATATATATATATATATATATATATTGGAATTCAAAAGCTTGAAATGATTTAATTACAAAAGAACGAATTAAAAAAAACCAAAAAAGAGTTAAATGTTAACAAATGAATGAATGATCATACCTCGGGTCTAGGGTTAGAGTTTAAGGAGGGGACTTCTTGGAAAGCCTTGTATTCATTCATTTTCCATTTGGTCTTGGTCCCACTGGGAGCTCTACCATTATAGAAAACCATGGTTCTCTTGATCCCAATGGCTCGATTATTCCAAGAGTAAACGATGCTTGGTGAACCGGTGGCCTTCCAGTAGCCGGAACTCGTCAGGCGGCTGGGTCGCCCTCCTCTTGCTTCTTTCTCTTGTCTAGGAATGAAAAAGAACCACTGCTCGAGGTCTCCTTTACAACGTTCTCCAGCGTATTCTGCTTTCAAAATATTATATACGGAGTATATATAGATCCAAATTAATTATGGCAAACAAAAAACAGTAGAAATGTTGAAATTCTAAACGTAAAAAAGAACAGTTTTTTTTGCTCAACATATATATAAACGAATTTGAACCATTCCTGTCTTCATTAATCTAAACAATTGTGTTCTTGAAATGCTTTAAACCCCATCATAAACACTTAATTAGTTTCCTAAGCTTTCCGTTTTTAATTTATTCAAAAAAAATATATATGTTTGGAGGAATTAAAAGTGACAAAAGGGATGAATTGAAGTACTAACGAGGGAGGTCCCATGGGTAGAAATCGTAGACATGAAGCCGAGGTATGACTCTATCGATATGTTGCAGTAATCTGGTGGTGCCTTGTATCTTATGCTTCAAATAAAATGTTATCAACTCTTCTTCTGTAGGGTAGAATCTAAACCCTGGTGCCCCGACCACTCCTTCTCCCTCCATTTTCGGGATCTATCTTGATCTTGATTGCGTGTAGCTCCTCTTTCTTAACAAAACAAACGATCAAGAATCAAACTTTACAAACCAAAGTTCTGAATCTTGGGTGCGACCAATATCTGAATTGCGGAAGGGTGCATGGGTGCTTGAATGTGTGTTTGTGTGTTTGTGTTCATACTTATATATTATATATATAGAAATAGTAGTACGTGTGGAACTAGTAATTAATGGAAGCCGAGTGAAATAAGAAAAAAAACATTCAGAAATTTCCATGCATTTCCTTGGAAGGACTTTGCTTTTCAAGTCTTTATTTGCTGTATGTTTTGTTTGTAGGCTCCATTGTATTGTAGCAGACTAGCAGCCTGTTTGTTAGATATGTGTCTTTATCGAGCTATTGATCGATAGCTAGCGATAATTTCCATATATAGTCAATAAGTCAAAAGAATATGAATTCAATTTGGATACTAATCGACTAGCTAGTGTAATGTTCCTTAATGGGGGTTCCTTAAGCCTCAACAAATGATTCTTTCACGAGTCTAAAATAGATATTGCATCGAATCAAATTGACTAAAAAGTGTTTTATACAAATGACTACATCTCTTTTTAATTATTGTTAAATGTTAATCAACAGGATGCTTAAAACTTTTACTATTAATTTGAAATTATCACAAACATATCTTTTACAAACCGAAGTTCTTAACTATATACCTTAATTTGATGTTATCACAAACATATCTTTTATCTTTTAATTAACTAATATACATAATAAAACTTTTTGACTAATATTACAATCTTAATATAGCATTAACTCGAATATAATTTTAAGTGCAATTTTATTATTTTATAATTTTACTTACTAAAACTCAACATCTTTTTTTTAACTGTGTTTAAATTATTTGTAAACCTTTTTAATAGCATTTAATAACTTACCAATTAGAGTTCAACTTGTTTTTAAAAAAATATATAATATAATTTTAATGTTTGTTAATTTTATTGTTAGTACAAGTTAGTCTCGTTTATAACTCTCATAAATGTAAAATATATTCTACCTCTTTAGACTAATATCATAACAGCCTAATAACATTTAATCAATTTTTTTTTTCAAATATGATATAAAATTTAGTGGTGGTATTGATTTATATATGTGTTTCCTTATAATTAATATACATTTTAAAATCCTAACATGCTTTTGAACAGTGCCAAACCGCCGTCTTCAACCAATCGAGTCGGCTTCAAATTTAGAGTTGTAGTCATCGGCTTCTAACACACCATACCACACTTTTTTCCTTCATCCATCGTCTCCTTACACCACCAAATTAGTGCTTTCGATTTGGGGGAATTTTTCGTCCCTTTCTGAATCTTCCAATATGATGTATTCGATATCTTCCCTTTCTTTTTGTCTCATCATCCCTCACAGGAATCCAACTATGCTTCCTTGGTTCCTTTCATCTCCTTTTTTTCCATCACCTTCACCATCTACACTCTAATTCATAATCAATTAGATTCATCATTAGGGCTTTTTTTGGTTGTTATCGAAGTAATCAGAAACTAAAGATTTTTTTGGATGTTATCAAGGTACTCAGAAATTGGAGATATGGTGAAGATACTTTAGTCTCTAAATCCAAATCCATGCCCAACTTGAAGTTTTTAATATCAAATTTATGTTGGATGCTTCGTGGGATCGAGAAGAATGAATTGAGTAGGACATATTTGATTAGTTTGGGAGATTTCTTGCAAATTATTTGTAACATCTTGTTTCGATAAGTTTTTATTTCAGGATTGTGGATAATAAATGGATCAAATGGAGGCATTGGACTTTAATGGAATGAATTTTACACTCTATTGGAGATATATGGTGTTAGACAAATGATTTAAACCAGAGATTGTTTGATGGTAGTTGAGGAGCAAAATGGGAAAAGTTATGTTTTAGGCTTCTTGCATAAATTAAAGATTTTAGTTCAAGATGTATATCAATATAGAATTTTAGAGCTCATCGATACCTTTCCGTGGATATAAAGATAATTGAAAACGGAATTGAAACAAATAAGTTACGGTTGTTTGAAGTTAAGCTTGAAAATGGGAGTCTGGCAGTACGCTGGACGTACACTAGCTAGTGCGTCGGGCATACTATGCAGAAGGAAATCGTGTTTTTAGGGTGTTACGTTGGGCGTAACTTTAGGTACGTTGGGCGTACTACAATATTGTGAAAACCCTATTTTCGTGGTTTTGAGCCCTATTTAAGGACTATAACCAGTTGGGGTCCTTCCTAACATCAACCTCCACCCTCTTGAGCCTCCAACTCAAAACCTTAGCCCTTAGATCAAATCTTGAGCCTTTGTATGTGTTTTGAGTGCATTTTGGATGAAAGAGAAGTTCAAGCTTGTTAATTGTTGAAGCTCAAGCTTGTGGATCTGGAGTCTACATGACTTTTCTCAACTATAGAAGGTATAAAGTTTGCTCTTAATGATGCATTTGTTAGATCTAGCTAGTTTTTGGTTTTATGAGCTCTTTGGTCACTTTACTGCATAAAGTTTAGATCTTGAAATTTTGTGACCTTATTATGGATAAAGTTGAAAACTTTATCCATCTACACATCATATTTGAAGGTTTATATTCATCGGATACACTTCAACTATAAAAAAACAAGAACAATTTAACTAACTAAAGAACAGAAAAAGTAAACACAAAATATTCACCAAAATGTCTTCCACAAAGAAAGGGCTTGTTTTCACCAAGAAAATGGGTTATCACAAAGACGGTCACCAAGACTTACATTAGGGTTTCACCCTGATATTGTATATATATATATAATAATCTATACTAGTATATCCCTTAATTAAAGGGAGTGTATCTAATCTATACTAAGAACCGATAATTATTACAAAGATATTAGATCTGCTATCTATTATATATATATATATATATATATATATATATATATATAATTACCTAATATAAAAATATTACAATAGATTATATAACTACATGTTGATGTTGATCTTCATGTAGACGTTGATAAGGTCTTAAGACGTTGGCATTGGTGCTGGTGGTTGGTGTATTGAGTGTTTGACTCATCATGTCACAAGGTGTGACCTTACAATTTCCCCTATCTGATGATGTCAAAACTAATCTTCAAAATACTTTAGCTCATGCTCCCCTAAGAGTAAGATTGAAACTTTAAAACTCTTCATCTTTAACGAATGCTCTCCCTGAGAAAGTGTATGACTCTCCCCATTTTTTATTACCAGTAGTAGAACTAACATTTATGAGTTGCAACGGATAAATAGATGATGAGTTTGGCTCCCCCTTAGATTTTTCTTTTCTTCAAATCAATAACACTTAGTAGTTTGTCACATTGACACATTTAGCAAGTTTCTCTCCCTTTTTGACATTAGCAGCAAATGCGGGACTGGAGAAAGCGATCAGTGTATCAAATTTGTAGATTGTAAGCTAGTAAGGTTGTGATTTCTCCTGATACTATAGGTTTAAACAACCATTCACTAGCATAGTATTGTGAGATTTCATCAGCATGTGGTTTCATCAACTAACTTATTAGTCACTTTTATTAGAAGAAAATGTAAAGATTTTTCAAGATCTCATCAGTGTATAGTGCATCACACTAAATCATAAAGCTTTAAAGAAGAAAATAAGGAGAGAATGGATTCTTTTAGTCACGTTATGGTGGAATCAGCGTGAATCATCAATAGTGATAACCAATCAACAAGAAGTGGTTTAATTTGTGCATCATAGAGTTGGTTGCAGTCTAGAGTCATAGATCTTCCGTCAATTCATAGTGGTACCATGTCATACCTCAGACTAGGAGGTCAGGGACATAAATAACCTTTTTTCATTAAGGACCAGACAAGTAATTCTTACGCCGATGAAAATGCAATCAGGGTAAGCCATTGGGTTATGTTTAATGTTTCAACAAAACATGAGACTTGATGAATACGGCAAGCATGCTTCTAGGGACAAGAGTCAGGTAAGATAGTTGACTAAGAATAAACACCAATCCTTTTTATAAATTTTTTATTTCGACCAGGCAATCTCACTTAGATGCTAGACAATCAACATCGGGGGAGGGGTGACTCAATGTCATCTCAACAGATGGTCTTGCTAATGAGATACTTAGATAGATTTAGGCACATACATCAACATCCTTCTAGGGATGATCATTTGTCAAAAGTTACATACTTGGCTTAAGAAATGCCATAGTCAAATCCTTAATAATGGTGCAAAACAAAATAAAGAAGAACACAAACAAAAAATTGAGTCAAACAAGAAATATTAAAAGAGATATTTTTACAACTTTTTTAGAGGTACCTTATGTAGCCTTTTCAGAAGAATCATCAAGGAATAAAATCTTTTGAGTAAAATCTCAAAAGAAGGATCTTTTGAAATAAGTACTCATAACTTAATTTCCTTTCTTCGAAATATCTGATCTTCAAATATGGCTATAAAAGAGAGCACAATCAAGAACAACCACATTAATATACAATACAACTCACTACAAACCAAGAGTGATGAAGCCATTTATCATTGAGATATTTCATATGCATTCTAAGTTTCATGTTCACCAAGAGCAAGAGAGGAGCAGAAAATAGTCTTTGTAAGCAATGAGTTAACAGGCACAAATCCATGAAACCATCGTGTTGACATGATTAACACGAGAGCATTCAAGATTTCATCGGATTGTGAGTTAATAGATGAAAACAAGACTCATTGCATTGATGTTTGCTGCTTGCATCCCAAATAGTGAGTGCAGGAGAAGGAGGGCATTATCAACAAGAAGAGGTAATGATGTCAATATTCTTCTCAACAAAGAGAGCATTCAAAACATTCTGTATGACTCCAGCTCCTTCTAATTTCTGATAAGAAAAAGTACATGTACACCTTAGGCGTGCCAGAAGGATATATAACAGAAATAAACTAGAATACTTGTAAATATTAGAAACAAATTTTAAGCAAAGTATGTAAACTTCTATAGACATAATAGAAGTAACACTTGTTTTTTTGGTTTTTGAGAAAGCAAGTAAAAAAGAGTTAGAAAATGATTAAGTCATTGAAAGCTTGCGAATATCTGCAATCAATTTGTTTAGAGTCTTCTCGTCTAATGCCTTAGTGAAAATGTCAGTCAGTTGATCAGTGGATGGAA